GGGGGCGATATGCTGACTCTGTAAACCGCTTAGAGAGGGCTGAAAGCCCTATGAAGTGGTATATAAGTCTAACTGCTAACTAACTAACTAACAGCGAACCATAGGTTCCCTTAATGATCACAGTGTTCACTACATGGCCGCTGCAAAACAGGTCATAAAATTGGGTGCAATCACATGTGACGTGCTTAATGGCCATCACGACTCAGGACCAAAATATCAGGCTTCATTATGGTCATAAGTCAAGGGCTACCTGTAGAAGGTAGCTTATCGGTCATGCCACCTGGAGAGGAATCCGATCTCGGGGGCTTGTTTATACCCAAGCAATCCAATCCCCACCGAAGGCTGTGAAATATTTATCACACGGTGAACTCATCCGGAACAACAGGAAAGTGAGAAGGCGGAAACAGTGGGGGGGAAAAAAGTAGCACGAAGAAAATGGCTTGTTTCACTGTGACTGAGCAAGCTGCGGGAACCTGGCTTGTTCCACAGCTCAGCAGAACTGGCAAACAAGAGCTTGATCCAATAAGTCACACTTAAAACCATGTTGGTCACACCTGGCTCCAAGCTGAAAGTAAAAACCGAGCCTCTCAAGGAATCCTTTGTGCGTCTGAATGCACTCGATGAAGCCGCTGCCCAGAGACCCCACTATAAGATGGTGTAAAGCAGTAGAAAGGGGGTAGCTCAACAGTAAAGGCAAGGGTGCGTGTATGAAATAATACTATGGAACTGTAATTTAGAAGAGACTGTCCGGGGTCTGGAAATGCAGACAACCAATTATACGCCAATGTTCTTTTCCTTGATACGATTAATCAACAGAATAATTGGACACAATTGCCCTCGCATGAAACGCACCCAAAATATCTGCAACATTGACAACACTCCCTGGAGTGACTAAGTCCTAGCCCTTATTTTATAAGCCACAATGGCTCAGCTCACACGGTGTGTTATGACAGAAAGAGACCATGATTAAACAAGCCATGAGTGATCGCAGGGGAGAACCCAACTGATGAAGGAAGTAAAATAGGCCATCCTCTGAACTGATTTTGGGAGGGGGGACTTCAGAATAGAACAGAATAGAATAGAATAGAATAGGGAGTAGAGTACAGTGAATAGAATAGAATAGAATAGAATAAGGAATAGGACAGAATAGAGTAGAATAAAGAGTAAAGTAGAATAAAGAGTAGAGTAGAATAGAATAGAATAAGCTCATCTTATCTTATCTTATCTTATCGGAGTAGAGTAGAGTAAAATAGAATAGGGAGTAGAATAGCACAGAACAGCTTTATTGTCCAAGTGTGATTGGAAACACAAGGAATTCTGAATTTCATGAATTTTGATCATGTGGCTGTGGGGATGCTACAACAGCCATAAATGGGAGGACCGGTTGTAAGTCATTTTTTCCAGTGCTGTTGTAACTTTGAATGGTCACGAAACGAATGGTTGGGAGTCTTGTATCCTAAAGTTGTTGAAGCTGAGAAACGCAGTTAAAGCCTTTCTCAATAAAGTTTTAATTTTACTCTTCCCATGAAGCCAATTTCCTCATCTGGTCTGACATGTAAAGAGGATGTTTGTTATTTGGTAGCAACTCCAAGTAGAAGGCCTCAATTTATTCCCCATCATCTCTCCCCCACTTCTAGGCACTTCTTTTATCTTCCCCGCTAATCTAATCTTTCAAGGGTCCAGGCTGCATCTGGCAGCTTGAGGGAAGGGGCCGTATTGGCTGAACAACGAAGCAAAGTCCTTATCTACACAACTCTATAATCCATAATGTGGTTTGATTTTCTGTGAGTTTTTCCCCTGAAGTTAACCAACTATAATCAAGAAACTATAATCAAGCCAGCCACAGCCAAAGGCCTGTGATACTATTTTTTGCCCACAGGCTGGAACTTCTATTTCTTTTTCTACACTGCCTTTTGTTGTCTTGCTTTTAAAGCTACCTTAAGCTTCTTTTAAAAGGCAGGACTTTCTGTTTTTTTTCCTTGCATCAAAACAGCAAGAAATTACTTGGCTGACTTGGTTTTTAGCCTGCAGCAAATAATAATAATACTACATATAAAAGGTTCAGCACCATGGACAGATCCGGGGTTTTGTGAGGCTTCCTGGTGCCCCGAAATGAGAGTTATAGGGAGAGAAAAAATGAGATTGGAGGAATGGTTTTCAACTAAAAAAACCCAAACTAGAAAGGGGCTGCAGATGCCCCCTCCCTGAAAGAGGGGATCAGAAGTTCATCCCAATAATGAATTCCTTCCCTCTTGCAAGCAAGAGAAGGAAGCGGAGAGAAAGGGAAGATTTGTGCATTCATCCAAGGAGGGTGTGAGCTGTCCAATGTACCACACAGAATTGGGGAAACTATATTTATAATCTTGCTCCTAAGGGAGGAGTGCTTCTCAACCTGGACCCTGGATTTTAATCTGCCAGTGCTTCCCCTAAAACACACACACAGACACACACACACACACACACACACCAGCATGTATCGTTTCGTGACGCAGGTGATCAGGAGCACAAAAGCCAACACATTTAGCAAATGCCCAATTGGGCAAAACTCACCTTGACACAAATTACAGAATTATTGAGCGGCTGAGTTTTTCCGCTGATCAACACAACCAGGCACTAGGCCGTTAACAGGCCCAGCCAAGCAGGCACCCATGCAAATCGACAATGCAATGATTGCATGCTGTGTGTCTCGACAGTGTAACAAGAACTTTCCTACTTTTAACACATGCTACCCGGAGAAAAAAAAACCCCACAAGGTTTGAACTGGCAGAAGAATTCAGTATCCTTAGAAACCCCCCCAAATTTCATGTAAAAGTGCTCACAGGTTTCTTGTCCTTCTGGGCTCAAAAACAAATCAAAACATTGCAACACGCATAGGTTATTGCTAACCAACTCATGGGGAAAATCGTTGCTTCTCATTCAGGAGAACCCCAGCAAAGGAAAAAAACATCAGAAAGCACAAAATGGGGAAAGCTCATTTCTGCATGGAACTTTTAAGGAGCTGCTTTCAACAGGCAGGGAAAATATGATCTATTAATTTTTTTCTCATATCCATCCATCCATCCATCCATCCATTTCCTTCATTCTGGAAGAAAAATTCAAAAGCATTTTTAAGGACAGTAAAAATAGCCCGCCTTGATCCAAATATCATCCCAATTATTAGGCTGAATTGGGAGAACCAATTGGCTTCTATATCCAGGGGCACACAGCCTGTTCATGTGTAAAGAGCCGAGGTGGCGCAGTGGTTAGAGTGCAGTACTGCAGGCCACTTCAGCTGACTGCTAACTGCAGTTCGGCAATTCAAATCTCACCGGCTCAAAGGTTGACTCAGCCTTCCATCCTTCCAAGGTGGGTGAAATGAGGACCCAGACTGTGGGGGTGATATGCTGACTCTGTAAACCGCTTAGAGAGGGCTGAAAGCCCTATGAAGCGGTATATAAGTCTAACTGCTATTGCTATTTCTATTGCTATTGCTACTGGAAAAAGGGCCTGCCCTTGGAGACTGTCCCTGCTGTCACAGCCGTACTTCTATCTTCCTGTTCATTCTGCTATGTTTTCCCTGTCCTGCCAAGTCTTAGCTTTCTTCATGGTATGGCAAATCACCCAGATGTGGCATATAGGGTGAGTCCCCACATGGGACTAGGGCACGGTTCACCGAACAAGCCAACACAGACTGAATTCTTACAACATGCTAAGCCGTAAAACATACTTTAAATCTTGATGCATCTTCATACACTACCTGAGGTTAAAACAACACTGATTTACACAATCTGCCCAGTCAGCTTAAAGATTATATATTTGTGATCGCCCCCCACCCCCAAACAATGGAATCAAAGTCTGATTTTTTTTTATTCCAGGATACTTTGAACCAAAGAGCTGAAAAAAGTAGTGTTATTTTATCAGTGCTAAAACTGTTTCGAGCGATACCGAAAGGCTGTTCTCCCATCGGTATCCTATGCAGAAAATATCTCAGATTCTACTCACAAAAAAATGAGTAACGGACCAGTGCAGAAACTAATGACGACTCGATTTTATAAATGCAAAGCTGTGATGCAGAACCAGAATAAAAATTATGCTTCTCCAAAGGAAATCCAAATATCGCTCATAAGTTCTTGTGGGATGGCCTTAACCATTGCGTCCAACAGAGAACTGCAGTTCTCCTTCTCGTCCGCAAAGCTCAGACCTCCCTCAACCTGGTGCCTTGCAAATGCAGTAGGACTACATCACCCAGAATCCCCGACAGCAGAGAAACAGTACAAACCAATGGCAAGATGGGAATTTTAGCCTCAAACCCAGGGTTAGCCGAATATCTCATTCAGAAATGTTAGGATGGTTTTTCTTATTCTTCCCCATCCATCCGTCAGGATGACTGGGGATATTATTGGGGGTGGGGGGGGGAGAAGCACTCCAGGAATCGACTTCAACAATTTGCAGAAAGGGGAAATAAAAATGCAAGAAAAGCAACCCAGACCTTGGTGGCTCCCATACAGAAGGGGATGGGAATTGCAAGTTCCTGTCCAGGGAGAAGGGAAAAAAATGGCCCAGATGGAACATGAAAAAGAAAAGTAAANTAGAATAGAATAGAATAAAGAGTAGAGTAGAATAGAATACCATAAGGAGTAGAGTAGAGTAGACTTAGAACAAGGAATAGCATAGAATAGAGTAGAGTAGAACAGAACAGAACAGCTTTATTGTGTGTGATTGGACACACAAGGAATTTGTCTTTGGTGCATAAACTCTAAGTGTACATAAAAAGACAAGATACATCCGTATACATTCAGTAAGGAATTGCAGCAATACTTTGCATTATCCAGTTTAGGGATTCCCTCTACGAATGTGTGATTTCCATCTAATCAAACTATCCTGCTTCTCTTGGGTCCTACATTAAAATACCAACCCAGGAGGGCACATTTTGCGTTTCTCGCCTCCCCCCTCGTGCAGAAGGGGTTAAGCTGAAGAAACACACTTCCAAATTCACCCCAAACCTTCTCGCGCCTTTGGTGTTGATCACGTCGACGGTTCTTTTCCCACGAACTGCATTATAATCAGTTGTCAAGATTTCAGCAACGAAACCCTGAGCTGTGATCTCACTGAGTCAGGGGGGAGGCGTACTCAGCTCAGCTTTGGGGGACCAACGCAGCTGCCAGGTCTTCCCCTGGGTTAAGAGAGTTGTGTGAACCCAACCTCCCCGCTGTCTTGGCATGACACTCCTTAACCCTTTCCTTCCCCAAAGGACCTGAATCTCCCCCAAAGGGCAACTTTCACAAAAGACCCTAGCTGGGGTGGGGATGGGCGCAGCTGAACTGAAGTTCCCCATTGTGAAGCTACCTGCTGCACACCCAACCGCCTTAACAGAGAGCACCAGTATCACTTCTCACAAGTTAAAGCCTGACACGAGAGTGGCTGGGCAGACCCGGATCTACTTGGTCCTGAGAATGCAACCCAGACCTCAGCCGGCTGACCTTCCCCTTGATGGGTAGGATGGGGGTGGGGGGGTGTCCCCTGAGCCAAGCCCCTCTTTCCCTGCCTCCCCCCCTCCCCGCCCTACCGGAGCGGCTGCGCCACGCTGCCCTCCAAACTGCGCTCCTGCTGCTGGGCGGCGGGGGCGGCCTCCGGGTCGGGCCCCTTCAGCAGCCTCAGCTCGTCGCCTTCCAGCGTGCGGTACCAGCTCTGCGGCGCTCCGTCGGGCACCAGCACGGGGCTCTTGGCCTCCTCGGTGCCCGCCGGCGGCGTCTTGACCAAGTGGGCTGCGCCGACGGGCAGTTGCTGCCACAGCTTTTGCATGGTCCCGGGGAGGAGGTGATGGAGGAGGAGGAGGCTGCTGGGCTCCCTGGAGCGGCTCTCCCCAGCCAGACGCCCGCAAAGCGCCGGCTCAGCCGCCCAGCCACGTTAGCAGCTCCGCTGCTTGGCTGGCTGGCTGGCCCCGGCGCGGGAGGGGCTTCGGGGAGCCGCCAGCCACTCTCCGCCCCGCCCGCCCGCCTGCCTGCCTGCCTACCGGCTGCTCGGCTGAAACCAGACACCGCCGACTCCAGCAGCAGCCGCCGCGAAGGCGTTGGGCGCAACGCCACCTGGCGGCCACAAGGAGCAGCTGCCCCGGTCTGCAAGCCCCATTTGGGGTCTATGAAGGGGCGCTGGGTTTGGGGGTGGATGGCGGACCGGGAGGAGGAATTCCTGGCATGCCGGGAGGGGGGAAGAGAAGAGACGGCCGGTGGCTCCCGCAGGAGGCTTCCCGGTGCCGCTGGAAATATTTCGGAATGCCCTAGTAAGACCACACCTGGAATACTACATCCAGCTTTGGCCACCAAAGATGTTGAGACTCTAGAAATAGAGTGCAGAGAAGAGCAANTAGGTAGGTAGGTAGGCAGGAAGGCAGGCAGGCAGATTTATTAAACTTCTGGACTGCCCAGAATCTCTGTCTACCCAGGATAAAAATCAGATCAAATATATATTAATCTTTCAATAAGTCAACATCCTTTGACTCGATAAGGCAGGTCACCCAGAGCCAGCTCCGAAGCTTCGGGACAGGTGTCTCCTCCCCCTCCCCTGACTCCTTTCCAAAATGCTTTTCTTGACTTCCCAGCCTAGGGGACTTCCTGGTGGTCTCCCATCCCAGCCCTAACAAGCTCCGACCATTCTCCTCGGCCTTTGGCAGACCGGCCAAGGACGTCCCATCCAGGAAGGGCGTAACCACACACACAAAAAGACCACCCACCCACCCCTCTCCGCCGTTCCCCGCCCGGGATTTGTTTTTTTTAGCCGGAGGGGAGGGGGGCGGGAGGCAGCCCCCCCCTTCCTGGCTGTCGTCCCACTTTCCTGACCCAGATAGGCTGGGGAGGGGCTCCTGGCGTCATTCCCCAAATGGAGGGGAGGGAGAGGGGGGTTCTAAGAAGCAGCCAAAAAATCTGGGTCATCCTTTGCAAAGCAAGGACCCCCTAGCCGGATTTGGGGGGGGGGGCAGAGGAAAACAAACCCACCCACCCTCCCATCCCACCGCTGCTCCGAGGCAAGGGGAGGCCTGGGTTTGCAACGCTGCGCCCCCTCCCCGAGCTCGGGGCTGCGCTCCCGCCTCCCTCCGCCAAAGGAGAGCCGCACCTTTTGTAATCCGACGAGAAGATCCCGCCGCTGGCCGGATCGTGCCCGTACTCCGGCTCCCCCAGGCTGGACGAGCCGCCCTTCTCCTCGTTGTAGGCTTGGCCGGAGGACATGGCTGCGGGCGAGCGGGCGGAGGAGGGACGGCTGGCCTGGCCTGGCCTGGCTTGGCTTCCAACGGGGGACGCGGCGCGCCCCGGCAGCAGGAGCAGCGGCGGCGGCTCTGGATGCGGCTGATGTCAGCGGCGCGGGGGAGCGGCTGCTGCAGCCGGGTTGGGAAGCGCCTCCCCGCCCCTTAAAGGGGCAGAGCGGCTGGAAGGGCTGTCCCCCCCCCCCCACCCAATCCAACCGGTGAAGCGCTGCCCCTCTTCGGAGCTTTGGTTTGCAAAGAGGACAGGGCTCAGCCTTGGGGCATGTAAACGGGGTTGGAAGGCTGGGAGCAGGGTGGTTGGGGGGGGGGGCATGGTGGGTTATTTGGCAAGCCAGGATGGGCACCTTGGTGGCTCAGTGGTTAGAATGGAGTATTCTTTGCTTCCTTCCTTCCATCCATCCTTCCTTCCTTNCCAGAGTCCTTTCCCACCCTTTCCATCGGTCTTTTGACCAATCGGTTGCGTCCCTCAGGCTTTTCAACCAAACTGAGATAAGAGCCGCTTAGACAAACAGCAGAGTAACTGTGGCGGTGAGCAACCCAGCGGTGGAGAGGCCGAGCTTCTAAAGAAGGTTGATCTCTAGAACTGAACGGAGGGGGCGGGGGGAAACGAAACAGCCCTCCTTGGACAGGCGATCCGAGAAAAAGAAAAGCCATGCACCTAAACTCTCGCCATCTCCGGAGCCCAAGGAGGGGAACGCCCGGGTAAGAAGTGCCTGAAAAGACTGATGGGACCGTCATGGCCTCCAGCTTCATGTTCTTCGTGTCCATCCTCATCTACCTCACTTCCTTCATTGGCATGATCGGCAACCTCATCGTCCTCTTCGCCTTCCTGACCCACGCCGTCCGGCGCAAAGCCCTCCAGCCTCTGGACCGCATCATAGTCAACATGGGTTTGGTCAACTTCTTCCTCTGTTGCTACAAAGCCATTCCTGGGATGCTAGTTTTCAGCAGCACCAGAGTCTTCGGGGAAGAGGGATGTAGGGTTCTCCTCTACACCTACCACACTCTGAGGCTGGTCAGCATCTGGTCGGTGGAAAACCTGAGCATCGTCCACCTCATCAAGATCCGGAGGCCCAGCTGCCGATGGGCGATGCTCATCCACAGGCATCAATCACGCTACGTCAACGGGACCCTCGTGGGTTGTTGGGTGGCCAGTGTCCTCCTGCAGATCCCTTATTTGCAGTATGAGAAGACCGGCGGTCAACGGAATAAGACCATCGCCTTCTTGGCTACTTCCACTTGCTTGAAATCCACGGAAAGCTTCGCCATGAAGTTTAGCACCTACGCCTCCATCGGCCTCGACATGGTCCTCATTCTCTTGGTGGTCGTCCTCAACGGCTTCATCGTCGACCTTCTCTGGAAGCACCACAGGAAGGTGAAAGCGTCGTCCTCCGCCGCCGCGGGGAGCAGGTGGAATAAGCACACGGCCCAGGCCACCAAGATCCTGCTCTCCTTGCTCTCCATTTACGTGGTTTGCTGGATCGCCAACGACATGGTCTGGCTCACCATCGTCCTGGGATACAACAGGAACAGCACGGAGAGCAGCTTCCTGAATGGCGTGTACGGCGTGCTCTCCTCCATATATTATTCCGCCAGCTCGTACGTGATGGTCTTTGGGTACAAAAAGGTCCGCGAATACCTCGCAGAAACCTGCTGGTGTTTGAGATGTAGAAGGACCGCGGTGGCTCAAGCTGTCTCTTTGGCGGATGCGCTTCCCAGATGACGGAGAAGGTCTCCCCGGAGGACGGCTCAACGCTTGTCCTTCGAAGCGTCGTAATGTTGGTCCTCGGTGGAGAAATAGCAACAGCACTTAGACTTATGTACCGCTTCACGGTGCTTTTACAGCCCTCTCTCGTTGGTTTACGGAGTCAGCCTCTTGCCTCCCCAAACAATCTGGGTCCTCATTTGACCCACCTCGGAAGGACGGAAGGCTGAGTCAACCTAGAAGAAATGGGACCAGTCCTGGACTTGGTGTGGCCTCTGTACCTCAACATTTCAACTTCTGGAAACGTATTCTTGGTTGTTGGATGTGGGGATGACAAAAATTCCAGGAAGAGAACGGCAGCCAGACACGGGAAGGAGTAACTTCAAACTTTTGAGCTCTGCTTTCTCCTTCTCCTCCTCCTCCTCCTCCTCCTCCTCCTCC